GAAAAAGACCCATTTTGAGGTACCTATGGAGTGATCCACGGCTAATTCCTTCGACGATATTGATTTAAACCGTTGAACTATCCTATGTATATACCTGTGTGCTCCGAGATTGATCGAAGCGTTCTGCGTTGGGCTAGTGGAACACGCAAAATCTTTTCCTTCGCCACCCGAGGGGTGAATGCCGCCTTTCTACCCACTCGGCCTTTCTTTTTGCTCGCAACGGAAACCTTCATATTGCCCACAGCAACTCCCTGCTCCTTCGCTCGGGCGAATACGCGCCGGATGGTTGAGGCATGGCAGTTGTACTTCTCTGCCAGGAACTGCGCAAGGCCATTCGGAAGTCGAGCCAACGATTTCGTACTGCTTTGGAGCAGAATCGCCCGAAGGATGGCCTCGCGGTCTTCGTTTGTCAGGTCACGCTTGTTGACCTGCATTTCGAATGTTGGTCACTGCTTTTATATGATTTAATGTATACAAACTTTGCGAACACTTTTTGTGATAGTTTGGCTGTATTTTTCCCTCGCTGGCACATGGCTTGACAGGACTCGGCGCGCACTTTCACATGGACCAATGAAACACGTGAAATTCGAATAATAATGGCAGACGACATTATAGTTTGAAAATCACTTGCGAATATAATGACGTGTCATTTCCCCCTCCTGGAAACGGCGCAAGTATTGTGGGACAGAGCGAGTGTAGTCAAGACGAGAAATTACATATTTTTTGTATTCAGTTGGCCAATCAGTGGCGTCAAGTTTGAATTGATGGGTACCATCATCCATGAATTTTTTTTACACTGCGGGTGCACCTGATGTATTCAAACTTCAAAATACCTGCAAAGTACAACGCTAGAGCGTTTATTCATTGTCCCACTGCGAGTACTACAATAGTTTGTGGTTGGCACTTTGCAATTTTCCAATCCGATGCGCAACACGTTCGTCGCACTGGCCGCCGTCGCCGCCGTCTCCGCTGCCCAATGCGAGCTGGGCTGCATCACGACCCGCGAACCTGTCTGCGGCTCCAACAACAAAACGTACTCGAACGCGTGCTACTTGAAAGTCGACGCGTGCACGACCAAGGAAGAGATTACAGTCGCCAAGCAGGGCGAGTGTGCGTGCAGCAACATGTGCACGATGGAATACGCCCCCGTCTGTGGTAGCGATGGCGTCACGTACGGTAACAAGTGCTCGCTACAGACTGCGCAGTGCAAAGACGGGTTGATCAAGCTCGCCAAGGACGGCGAATGCAGTGGCGCGTGCAACACGGTGTGCACGAAGGAGTACAAGCCCGTGTGTGCCTCGGACGGCAAGACGTACGGCAACGAGTGCGAATTCAAGAATGCCGCGTGCAAGACCCCGACGCTGACCAAGGTGTCGGATGGCGAGTGCCCGTCGTCGGGAAAAACGACCACCGCACCCAACGTCACGTCGGCCATGGCGACTACCATCTCTGTCCCCACCACCACGGTCAAGTCGTCGGCCATGTCGATGGCCTTGTCCGCGTTTGTCGCCTTCGTGGCTTTGGTTGCCGCGTAAGCAGGGCCTAAACATATATATATTTGGATGTGGTTTCGGTTGGAGCTCGGTCAGGTGTGGCACTGTTTGTCTGCGCAGGAGACGCATATGCACACGGGTAGCTCGTGCAACATTGCCGAGCCGACGGAATTCCGCGATCGGCAAGTGGAGCTCCATCTCACAAACAACATGTTGCTACTCTGAAGAGTTGGGTGCGATGTGCGCGATCGATTGCGACACC